CCCCCCCCCCCCCCCCAACTGCCCCTTAAATATGGGTATTATTTAATTTTAATAAATATCTTTTCTTCTTTTTTTTTTTGTTTTTTTGGGTCAAATTTCCATTTATCCTTTGCTTTAATTCAACATAGAAATGGTCACATATGACCCATTTCTGACCATTCCTAATAATTATTTATTACTTTCACGTTTGTTTAATTTTAATATATTTTCCTTTTATTTTACTATTAAAGATAATCTAACTATCATTATCTTAATTTTTTTTTAAATATATATTAAAAATCACGACTCTTCATCATAATTGTATTATATTGTCCACCGAGCAAATTCTCTTGTAAATTCAGTGATCAATAACCCCTTAACTAGGGATAAAAAGGCAATTTATCACTAATTTTACTTAACCCCTTAACTAGGGGTAAAAAGGTAATTTATCACTAATTTTACTAGTAAACTCAGTAATCAATAACCCCTTAACTAGGGGTAAAAAAGTATTTTATCACTAATTTTTAAATAAGATTACTCTCTCTTTTCGGTCTTTTGAACCGTTTTACACATTAGATAGCACGTTTGAGGGTTATTATGAGACAATTATATTGAACATTTTTTTTTTTTTGGTGAATTGAATTAATGAATTTGCTATTGTATTGATTGAATGGAAAAGGTAAGGTAATGCATAATATAATGATGATGTAGTCTGAAAAAGAACACCAAAAAGTGATATGGGTTCCTTATTTATTCCCATAGACATTACAACTTCCTTTCCTTCCTTCCTTTTGAATGTCTCTTTATCTGCCTTTGAATTGTCCTTTCATTTTCTCTCCCCCTTTGATTCTCTCCAACCAACTCTCATTTTTTGTGTACTTCCAACTTTGACCATTCCTCCTCTTCCACTTTACTTTCAACACAAATTTACATATAACTTTATACCATTCCCTTCCATCCATCAACAAACAAATTACCACCAATATCTCGAGCTCTAATCATGTGACATCTAGTTTTATGTTTCTTTCGAGATAGAATTACATGTAAACTTATCATTACTGTGACATCTGAACAAATGAGTGATACATGAATGAACCAAAACAACATTTGAACGAGAGTGATCCTGAGGATGTGACCATTGATAATGACTTAAAAAAAGTTACTACTTTTATCAACAATGTGGCTCAATCATACGAACTCTAAAGCTAAACATGCTTGGCTTAAGGCAACCTTGTGTTATATTGAAATGACCCCATCTCGCTCAAATTTCAAGAAACAAAATGTCACATTCCTCGACAAAAACGAAAGCAAGGTGGGGTAAGACGGGCAATTTATGTTCTCATTTAGCTAACAAAGAGACGAGATTTCTCACATTGTTTAGGACAACTCCCCACCAGCATCTCAATTGTGAGAGTTTTATGGATATGAAAGCTTGCACCTTTGAACGGATTTAAAGTACAAGTTCAACTGAACAAATTACACAATAACATAATTTTTCGAAAGAAGAGGAGTCGAGTTTAGGTATGGTCGGGTGGAACGAAAATAGGTTTAGAAGATGGTACTTGTGGTTTTGGCCTTATTTATTTGTATTGATATAGAAAACGAAGTGAGAAAATACTTTTCCTCTCATTTTGTTGAACCAAATTCAATTTCCAATAGCTTCCTCAATTTCCTCACCTTCTTCTTCTCTCTCTGTCTCTCTCTCTCTCGCCGTTTCCGATTTCCAGTTTCCTTCGGCCCACTGCTCCATTTCCAATGTCTTCTCTCCTCCTTTGATTCTTCTCCGGTCCCATTTTCTTCATCTTCTCCTTCTGTTCTTTTGATTTGTCTCTGAAAACCCTTTTCTCTTCTCAATGGTTGACAACGGCGAGGAGAAATTGCTGGCTATGGCTCGCCACATAGCCAAGACTATGGGCCGCAACGAGTCCATGGCCGATGATATTCTCCAGATTTTTTCCAATTTCGATGCTAGGTTTTCCCTTGACAAGCTCTCTGATAAATCCGATGAGGTTGATCCCAGAAGCTCTGTCGCTTTGCAGCGCTCTCTCAAGTCTTTGGACCGCCGGATCTCCCAATATTTGGCTGCTGACCACCCGATTTGGGCGGATTCAGCCGATTCCGCTGCTTTTCTTGACGCTATTGATGAGTTGATTGCTACGATTAGGGACTGGACGCCGATGGCTAGGGATAAATCTGTTGGTACCTACCTTGCTCGCGCCGACGATCTGATGCAGCAGGCGATGTTTCGTGTAAGTGAAGAGTTTCGGTCGTTGATGGAGCGTGGAGGTGAGTCTTTTGAACTTACTCGGCATTTCAGGAACCGTGAGTCAACGGGCGAGTTTTTCTTCGATTCTGAGGAAGATGAGGAAGGTGCGGAAGGAATTCTTGGTGACGGCCTCCAGATCCCGGTGGCGCAGCCGGTGACAGACTACAACGTTGTAATCGATGCGCTTCCGTCGGGGACTATCAGCGATCTCCATGAGATAGCGAAGCGTATGGTGGCGGCTGGGTACGAGAAGGAGTGTTCGCACGCTTTCAGTAGCTGCAGGAGGGAGTTCTTAGAGGAGAGTCTTTCTAGGTTGGGGTTACAGAAGCTTAGCATCGATGAAGTTCAGAAGATGCAATGGCAAGACATGGAAGAGGAGATTGAGCGCTGGATGAAAGCGATTACCGTCTCCCTTCGAATCCTCTTCCCAAGCGAACGACGGCTCTGCGAACGAGTCTTCGTCGGCCTCTCCTCCGCCGCTGATCTCTCTTTCATGGAGGTCTGCCGAGGATCAACAATTCAGCTACTGAATTTCGCAGATGCGGTCGCAATCGGCTCGCGAGCGCCGGAACGACTGTTCAAAATCCTCGACATGTTCGAGACCTTGAGAGACTTGATGCTGGATTTCGATTCAGTATTTTCGGATCAGTACTGCTTGTTACTTAGAAACGAAGCAATCGCAATCTGGAAAAGGTTAGGCGGAACAATCAAGGGGATCTTCATGGAGCTCGAGAATTTGATCCGTCGTGATCCGGCTAAAACTCCAGTTCCGGGGGGCGGCCTTCATCCAATTACTCGGTATGTGATGAATTACCTTAAAGCAGCCTGTAAATCACGGCAGACTTTGGAGCAAATTTTCGAAGAAGCCGCTCTTCCTTCGAAGGATTACACCAAACTCGATGACAGAGCAACAGCATCGTCTTCATTATCAGTTCAAATGGACTGGATTATGGAGCTTTTAGAGAGCAATTTAGAGGCAAAATCAAAGATATACAACGATCTATCCTTAAGCTCTGTGTTTCTGATGAACAATGGCCGATACATTGTTCAGAAAGTGAAAGACAGCGAATTAGGATCGGTTTTAGGGGACGATTGGATTCGAAAGCACTCGGTTAAGAACAGGCAATACCTCGGAAATTTCCTGAAAAGTTCATGGAGCAAGGTGGTCGGAGTATTGAAAATTGACAGTGGCTCCATAGCTCCGGCTGTAATGAAAGAGAAGCTGAAATCATTCAACATACAGTTCGAAGAACTCTGCCAAACCCAATCTACATGGGTGATATCCGAGAATCAGCTTAGAGAAGAAGCAAAAATCTCAGTTACCAAAATCCTAATGCCTGCATATCAAAACTTCATCGAAAGGTACCAGAGTTTGCCGGAGTTGTCGAAGCGTACAGACCGGCATTTGATGTACACGGCGAAGGATGTGGAGGCTCAGATCACCCAGCTGTTCCAAGGAGGCGGCGGAAGGAGGTAAAGGGTAAGCCATAAATAATGTTGAACATTGCCTGTATATCTATACAAATGTCATCTTCATATCATAAATCCTTGACAGAAATTCTTGGCCAAGTTGTAATTGATTTGATCTGTGGGTGCGACTGCAATTGCAACTATGATATGTTGGGCCATTCTGAATATGATTACATCTCAAAGCCTTGCTCTCGAAAGTTCGAATGATTGCCAATGGCGGATTAGAACAAAATTTCTGGGCGTTTGAATCTTTGATCACTCTTAAAATTACTGTTTAGATTGTTCTTATGCAACACACTTGTGTAAATATATAAATTGGTTACATTTTAACTTTAGCTTATATTTCTATATGGTTATATTACATTGATCACTCTTTAAGAATTATGTTTAATTCTGGAAACAAAATAATTTCGAGAATCTCATGAACTTTTTTTTTTTTTTTTTTTTTT